ATTTGAGAGTTTAGTCTTTGCAACTTTACAGATCTTCTTTATGCACCAAGAGCTTGTAACACTTCAAAGAGAAAGGAAAAATTGAAATCGCATCATATGACCCCTTTAAAAAACAAATAAGCAAGTCCAGCCCAGGTGACAAAAAGTAATGCAAAAGTAACATAATGCATTACTTTCCGTAAAAGTTGACTAAGTAATGCAGTTATTTACTGTTTGTGGACAAACACAATATTGTAATGCATGACTTTTAAAAGTAACTTTCCCCAACACTGGTTTGTAGCTACTAACAAAAAGTATCTACAAGTACCGTGGTATCTCTTTTGAACATGGTAATAACGCTTCATTGCAAAACTTGAGTATTGATTTGATCATACAGTAATGATTTGATTAGGGCAGCGACAACTCATCATGAATAATGAAAGTAATCGACCACGATTATCGATTAATCAGATCACCTTAGTGAATAACACATTTCTATAGTCAAAACACACATTAGATATACTGGAAGACAGACTATATGTATTGAAATACAATTTTGGAAGCTTACCCGATTAATCAAGTAAATAATTTACATATTAAACGATTACCAAAATAAATGTCAATTGCAAATGTAGATTTGGTTAATATAATGCCGTCACAATTAAATATTCCAGACAGCCATGTGGGAAATAAAAGTACCATGATATTACTGTACCACTTTATCACTGTACCATAGTACAGCCGCAGTAACCGAGGGAGCAACAGTAACTAAGGGGGGCGGGGCTTACCGATAGGTCAATTATCGATTAATCAGATCACATCACTTTACAGAAGTGAATAACATCTTTCTATGGACAAACACACATTAAGTATAACAGAAGACTGAGACTATATACATAGAAATAAAATTTGGCAAGCTTGCCCAATTAATCGAGTAAATAATCGACAGATTAATCCATTACCAAAATACTTGTTTGTAGATTATAGCTAGATTTGGTTAATAGATTATAGATTTGGTTATAAAATGTTGTCACAAACAAATATTCCAGACAGCCATGTGGGAAATAAAAGTACCATGATATTACTGTACCACTTTATCACTGTACCATAGTACAGCCGCAGTAAAGAGTAGGCCTGGGCGATAAAACGGTATCGATATTTATCGACGGTACACCTTCTTCGATACTGATAGAAAAATTGTTCGATATAGTGCACGATATAGGCACATACTATGAGTGACGCAGACAGCACACACAAACACGAACACATGCTGAAATGAGTGCTGTGCCTGCCTGTGATGAGGACATTGTGAATAAAGAATGAATATTAGTCGAATTTAAAATAAACATTTGCATTTTAATGTTAGGTGTGCGTCAGGGAGCGTCATCAGTGGCGCGCGCGAGATGCGGTGATGATGTGAGTGACATTGTTGCATTTTAATGTTTCGTTAGTCTAGCCCACGAAATGCGCCGCTGCTGCGTAGGGATGCGCCGATCTGATATTCATATCGGGTATCGGCTCCGATATTGCCATTTTTCTTGGATCGGGTATCGGTCAGAGAGAGCCGATCCAAATCCGATAATTTTATTTATTTATTTTTTCGATTGTGTGAATTATTCTGTATTACTTCTGAAGCCATACGATAGCTTAATGTGAGCTACATATGAATATTTAAGTCCTTACATTAAAGTTCACACAAACTCTTTTCTCCGCTGTGGCTGTCAGTCATTCGTTCAGCCTTTAAACCCTGGTCACGTTCGGTTACAGCAGTCAGCTCGGTAAAGCTCTCTCCGAGATCATTCTGTGTTCCCATTATACTTGATTTGTAAATACATGTCTATGATTTTGCAAAAAGGACTATCTTCTTGCCGGAGTTTAATGTTTTGTTACTTGCTACCGGGTGTCTGTGAGAACAAAACATGGGCGTAGAAAAGACTAAATAGGTTTTTATCGTGCACAGTAACTGAAATTTAAAACTGTTAAAAGAAAGGCTCAATAACTGTTGCACAGATATAATACACTACGCACAATTTCATTTGAATGGATGCGCAGCGCACCTGTGTTTGTGTATTTGGCGTAACGTAAACTCTAGTGTGAAGGTGCACGACTCGCCGTCGCTTTCTCTCACTGAGCAAAGAGCAAGAGTGAGCGAGAGTCTTACATAACATGCAGAATTGATGCACTACATGTAAACGATATACTTTGTTGTATTTTCCTGTAAAAATAACACAGTTCCTTTGGAATTCTTCAGCTTTTAACTGACGGGTTTTCCTGTAGTAGGCGGAACTAATGCGCAAACAACAATCTCATTGGCTGGTCCTCACCTATTATTGTCCCTGTTTTGATTTCAGCGAATCAGTTCAAGCAAACGCACACAACCTGATTAATATTCATGAATCCGGTAGCTCATTAATCCTTAGTGCGTTTTTATATTGTTCTTATTAGTAGAATTGGTATAATAATAATAATAATAATAATATCTCATTAGTATTATTGTTCGTTTTATTTTTACAGGATCACTGAATGACCAAAAAAAGCACCAGCACCAGTCCTAAGTTCATGGTTACCAAGTTTTAATTCTAATTACTAAACTTCTATTATTAAATAATACTTTATTATCATATGAGTAAACAAAAAAATATACTAGCCGATGGCGATTCAATTGCCAAGGTGTCCGTAGAGGGTAGACTGTATAAAAACAGTTTGTGCTGCACTGTATTTGTTTTGTCCTATCGTATCATATGTTGTTGTCTTATTAAAAAATATGCTATACATTTAAAATAAATGTATTTTAATTTTATAGTAATTACTTATATATAAATACATTCATGAATGTTTTTAATGAATGGATTTTATAATAATACAAATAGCAATGTGTAACATTTTACAATATTTAGTGCAACACTTTTATTTGTTCCCCACAAAATATTGTTTTTTCACTAAATGTTTGGATTTCTAAAATTGTTGTGCACTGATTTTTCTAGAATAACTTTTGCTGCCGAATTATCCACTAACCTAGTTTATGATAATGTTTTGGCATAGATTATAAATATACATAGGCCTATATTTTTTCATATTTGTTTGAGCTTCTATATTTCTATATAAAATAATGCGGAGAAGATCTTGATTAGGTTAAAACCGAAACCAAGTCATTCACACAGATGCATATTCAGCGCATTTTTTAGACGGACAAATATGGCTGCTGCACTCACGTCTCACAGAAGAGATGTATAGAAAGCCATGCAAAGTTAAAACAGTTTAAACTTTTAGAAAACATGTTGCAAATTTGTAGAGGTTTATTCCTTTTCACTGCGTCTCTTATGTTTTTAAATGCAGTCTGTGTGAATGGCGCTTCAGCTCTTTGGATTAAGCAATGCATAAATACATGATGCTGTTCTGTTCATAATTGTTTATGCAATTTACGAAATTGTATTTGATTTTTACGAGTTAATTTAGACGTGATGCACGTTTTTATAGAGTTACTTCCTTGCGTTGACAATTTAAATGCGCTGCATTATTTTGCTCATTGCGCCCTCCTGTGGCCTCGGGAGACAATTAGACCTATTTAATCTGCAAATAAAACATAAGAAAGTAGATATTTGTTTAATTTTTATTGTGTTTGATTGTTAAAACAAAAAATATTTGTTGTCTGTCAATAAATAAATAAAAAATTCTTTTGCTTTTTGTTTTAAAAAAGGTTATAAAAAATGTCAATAATTATCGATACCGAGCGATATGAAACAATAAAAAATTTTTCTATATCGCCCAGCCCTAGTAAAGAGTATTGTTGAGTTTTTAAGATAAATAAGATATTAATAGAAGTTTAAGGGTTATAAAACATAGTTTTGTGTTGCTAAGGTGTTCTAGGTGGATGCCAGGTGGTTAATCTTTCTGATATACTGGTCTCCAGATATGTCTCGGGTTCTTTTGTGGGATTTTTTTGTCCGTTTTATCGCCACAAACACTCCCTCCATCTGACAGATAGCCCCGCCCCCAAACTCACGCCATTGGTGGAGTCAGAATTGTTATGTTGCATATCTCAAACAAACAGATTGACGTTCTGTAAGGGCGTTTGACTCTTCAATGATTAACTCGTAGTGACTGAACATTAAACTGACAGCAGAACGTGTCGATGTTGAAGATGACACAGAGGATATATCAGGCAGAGGCTTGAGACTCGTCTTTGGTTTTCCTGTTTGGATTCTCTCGCTGGCTGAGTGACATTTAGATTATGAAGGAACACGTCTGTCATAATCTCTAACTTGGAAGCTTATCAGTGCCATTTAAAAAGCTTTAGCTGTTGTTTTTTGTCTTTATCTGCGCCGGTCTTTCCTCAGGGCTGTTATTGTGGCCCGACACATGATCAGCGATGAATAATTAACCCAGAGATCAGCTCGAGTGAAAGTTTATTCAGATCTCACTCTGATCTCTCTCTCTGAGCGTCTCAGTTTGATTGTGACGTAACTGGAGGAGAAGTTACCGAGCCCAGCGCCTGTAATCTGGGATCTCCTTACAGCAGCAAACAGAGAAAGCTGACAACACTTTCATAGCTATAGAAGCACAGTCTCATTTTTCCCTTCTCAAAAGATATTGAAATCGATGTGGATAGTTTCATCATTTACTGCGGTTTACAGCTCTGGAATATGGTGAGCTTGATTCGTGTTTCAGTTCCTCTGTCATGCTGGATAAGTCGTGTATTTCTTGGAAAAATTGCATTTTTTTTTACTGTCTTATCATAGTCATCCAATCTGACCTAGTTTGCGTGGAAACGTTTTAACTAGGTTTTTACTGTGCATTTACTTTGTGCATTAAATATTTGGAATCTGCTTGGCGAAAATAGAAACGATGGTTTCTCTGAATGAAAATAAATCTAAATATTATACATTATATAAATATAAAAAAATCAAAGGGTGACATACTTAATAATTGAAATTTTAAAAGAATGTTTAAATTGGCAAGGATGTGTTAAATTGATCAAAAGTGACAGTAAAGATGTTTATAATGTTACAAAAATGAATCCTATTTTAAATAAACTTTCTGTTCATCTAAATATATACTAAAACAACATGTTTTAGTATATATGTCACGGTTTCCACGAAAATATGAAGCAGCACAACTGTTTAAAACATTGATAATAATCAGAAATGTTGTTTGAGCAGCAGATCAGCATATTATACTGATTTCTGAAGATCATGTGACACTGAAGACTGGAGCAATGATGCTGAAAATACAGCTGCGCATCACAGGAATAAATTACAGTTGAACAGATATTCACATAGAAAGCAGTTATTTTAAATTGTAATAATATTTCACAATATTGCTAATTTTACTGTATTTTTAATCAAATAAATGGTGGGCACAAGAGACTTCTTTCAAAAATATTACAAAATCTTACAGACATCAAACGTTTGACTCGTGGTGTTGTTTATTTTCCTGAAAATTAAGAGATGTTAAGATGCCTTTGAAGTTACTTTTATAGGGCTATGAATTTATGCATAGCTGTTGCTTACAAAAATACATGGGATTTCTCAAAAATAGCAAATTCTGATATTGCGTAATTAAACGTTTATATATTGTTCTGCTGTAGAAAAAGTAGTTTGCAAGTTCCTTACAAGTTTCAGCTTAGTCTAAGCCTAATGAGCGCTTTCAAGGATTAAATATTTGCTGAATTTGTGTGTTTGTTTTTTTTTGTGAGATTCATGCCATCAGATCTTTGATTTGTGATTAATGTTGAATATCAGCAAGCAGAACTGTACATTACTTTGTTTGCCATGCAGCTAAATAACGTGTTGAAAATGCACAAATGTGTGTGAGAACATGCTTCAGTGTGCGTTACGTGTTGTTTGGTGTGTTTTGTGCTTGCAGGTCTCAGTGTAGCCGTGTGTCATGGCCTGCGGTGTTGCTAAAGCAGGCCCTGCTAATGGCTTCCCTACGAAAGCGCAGCTGCAGATCACAGGTACGTTTGCGTATTTATCTGATGTGACATTCTTCCTCATCCGCTGAACTTTGATGTTCTGTCTCATTAATAAACACTAATATTTCAATTCTATTTTGAATTAACTTTAATTTTTATTTTTCATTTTAGTTAAATTTTTAGCAATTTTGTTATGTGCTTTTGTCCTTTTCTTCATTATTGTTTTAAATGTATTTTAATGTTAATTTCAGTTTTAGTTTATTTCCAGTAATTGCTTCCACTTAAACTTATTTCAGTTGCCAAGGGCACATGTCTAATTTTCATCTAATATTTAGATTTGATTATATTTCATTTTTTTAAATTAGCAAAAATATTTTAATAGTTTTAGTAACTATTATAACCCTGGTACATTTACATTTAAAAGATATTCCTGGTAATTATCAATTTGTTCCTTTATATATTAGCAATTTATGTGAAATTGAATTTTTTTATTATTCTAAAAATAAAAAATAAATAAAAAAAACTATTGGGTTTTTTTAGAAATAATTTTTAAAGGGCCAAAAAAACCCTTGTTTATTTTCATGGATGTCTTATTAAACAATTTGTAACCCTGCAGCACAAAAGCAGTGTTAAGTCGCTGGGGGATATTTGTAGCAATAGCCAACAATACATTGTATGGGTCAAAATTATACATTTCTCTTTTATGCCGAAAATCATTAGGATATTAAGTAAAGATAATGTTCCATGAAGATATTTTGTAAATTTTCTACTGTAAATATATCAATACTTAATTTTTGATTAGTAATATGCATTGCTAAGAACTTCATCTGAACAACTTTAAAGATGATTTTCTCAATATTTAGATTTTTTTGCACCCTCAGATTCCAGATTTATCATTTATTCAGCTTTCAAATGATGTATACATCTCAAGTTTCGAAAAATTGACCCTTATGGCTGGTTTTGTGGTCCAGGGTCACATTTGTCTTTAAAAAGTGCCTTTTTTTATACACATTATTTAAAAAAAAAATCTAGTTTCAATACAGTGTATTTTGAAGAAAACATTTTAGCCTCTTCACCTGTACTTCCTCCTCACAATACCTGCTTTTCTTTATTAATGTTTAGTGAAACATGTTTGCAAACATTTGCAAAATCCCATCAAAACCCATCATGGACGTGCCGTGTTGTTTTGACCGTTTGTTCTCTGGGTTTGCAGTGATCTCGGCCAAACTCAAGGACAACAAGAAGAACTGGTTCGGCCCGAGTCCGTACGTGGAGGTGTGTGTGGACGGCCAGTCCAAAAAGACGGAGAAATGCAACAACACACACTCGCCCAAATGGAAGCAGCCGCTCACTGTGTGAGTTTGGTGTGACCTCAGCCCTGTGTTTTTGATTTCACACAGGCTCTACCAGTTCCTCAGTTAACTTCAGATGCACATTGTCATGCGGCTCAATTCTCTATTAAACCGCTTTCATCTTCTCGACGTGAAGTGATTGTTAGTGATGTCAGAACTGACTGTGGACTCTATTATTTGTGGTGTTTGCCAAGTCAAGCGGTTGAGTGTGTGTGTGTGTGTGTGTGTGTTAGGATCGTGACTCCGTTCAGCAAGCTGATCTTCCGTGTTTGGAGTCACCAGACGCTGAAGTCGGACGTTCTGCTGGGTGTGGCCACCCTCGACGTCAGCGAGACGCTCAAATCACATGACATGAAGAGTGAGTGTTTGTGCTCTGCCGCTTTAACCACAGGAACCAGAGCGCAGCACAAGCCTGGCTCTATTAGCAGGGTTTGTTGCATAGTGTTGATCACTGGAATCCCTCTGTTTTATTTATTTAAGCTAAAATGACGGCATCTACATGAATGCTTTGTCTCTCTGAGTCATCATTTCTGTTGTCTAAATGCTGCTTGGATATATCATCGTTCACTTGCTCTGACAGGAATTATAGCTGTGGACTGACTAGATTAGAAAGTGGTTGTGTGCTTTAAACGTGTACATGTTTATGTTTTTTAAATATGAATTTTAAAATGTTACAATAATTTTTAAAAAATGTTTCTCATTTATATAATAGCATAATATAAGTGATTAAATTATACGTAATTTATGTTATATAAATCTAAGAATATATGTGTACATGTTTATGTTTTAAATGTGAATTTAAATAGTTATAATAAAAAAAATAAAAATTTAATTTATATAATTGTATAATATAAGTGATTCAATTATATATATAATTTATGTAATATAAATCTAAAAATATATGTAGACATTTTAATTAAGTAATTAAAAATACAAATAAGTTAAATTTAAAAATATAAATGTAATTATTTAAAAATATAAGTAGTGTTTTATTTAATTTTCTGCATTTACTGGTTTCACGTAACATGTTTACCAGCTGCAACAGGAGTTATGATATTAGACAGATATGGTTTTAAATATAAACGTAAAATTTTTTACAAAAGATATGTATTTATATTATAAATTATATAATTTGTATTGTATAATATAATTGTATAATAGAAATATTATATTATATCATTTTATAATATAAGTTCAATATATAGATGTTAATAAAAATAAAAAGTCTAAAAATAAACTTTGAAAATTGAAAAAAGAATATTTATAAAAAGAATATTATGCTATATTATAAAAATAATTTATACTATACAATATACATTTAAATAATTGTTACATATAAATTATTCTGTTATGTATAATTGATGATATATATTATTTAAAAAAAATATCAGTTTAGTTTATACAATATAAAAAACATTCAATAATTTAAATGTAAAAATATAAATAAAATTTTTTTTATTAGATTTTTCTGCATTTACTCTGTTTTCAGCAGTTGAGTGCCATTTTAACACTGATTGTTGTAGTTTGGAACTTCTCTTCATCAGCGTGTCTCTCTGGTTGTGTCTCTTTCAGTCTGTGAGGTGGTGCAGACGCTGCAGCTGTGCGCAGACAGAGACCAGTCTGATAACATCGGCGATCTGTCCGTGTGTTTGGACGGGCTGCAGGTGGATCCTGAAATGTTCCAGTCGGCCGAGGCCAACAACCAGAGTCAGTCGCTCCAGTCATCTCAATAACAGTGCTACTTATTTATTACACTAAAAAGAGCACCAATAACTAATGATATTGTTTTCCAGATACTTTAAATGGGGAATCTGAGCTAAATGACGACTCAAGCAGAAGGTATCTTCATATTAGTTATTAAATAACTATCAAAGTGAAAGTGTAAATGAAAGTTTCTTTTACTGTAGCTATGTTTCCATCCACCTATTTTTATGCGCATTTTGGAATATTGCATTAAACAAACGCTGGATGGAAACGCCAAGATGCGCATAAATTCTAAAAATGCACTTAAAAAACATATGCGCACAATTTAGTAGGATAAACTTTTTATCCGATAAGAAAAAATGCGCATAGACTATGATGGAAACACATTTACCGAATAAATTCCACCATGCACATTGAAAAAGTCATGTGACTTTACGCTAACTTGACTAACCAGCGAATTGATCTCGTTCACTGCATCTATATTGTTTGTTGTTTGTTGTTGTTTTGGTCGCTCTGAAATGCCTGAGGAAAGTCTGTCATCGAAAGTATTTCTGTATAATTTTTTAAAGGCACAAGTCATTTATTATATAGATTTCTTAGAGATATTTAGTGGCAGTTAATCAGGAAGTGCCAATTTTGTTCTCTTTGACTCATTGGATGGAAACGGTGCTTTATTCGCAAGTTTTGGATGAAAACACAACTTGTGCCAACATTCGTTTGAGTTTACCAAAAATGAAGGGAGGCTGTGATTGGTTGAGGAATGTCACATGTCTCTAATCAGTTTGCTTACATGGTTTTGAATGAAACATCTCCGCCTGATGTCCTGTCTCTTTCTCTGGAGAAGCAGAGACCCGTCTCCATCGGTCACAGATGGCCAGGAGCAGCCGTCGGCTCCTAACGGCCGTGTGAACGGCATGGATTCTCCTTCAGCGTCATCCAGAGGGTCGCGACCCCAGAGACCTCCGCGACCCTCGCGACCTCCGCCGCCGACCCCACGCAGACCCACGTCCTCCCCAGGTGAGACGCATTTGGTTATAGCATGTAGCTGTTTAATGCTCTACTTTTTCATATTGAAACATGTTGGTTCAAGTCATTAAGGAAGTCAAAAAATATTATACAAAATATATATATACAAAATATTATCCAGGCTTATTTATTTTTGGCCAGCATCAGCTGATAATGAATCTTTTATGGCATATTAACAGAAGTATGTAATTTAAATTTTTTAAATAAATAATAATTGCAATAATTATTGGTAAATATGTAAAATAAATGTTCATTTAATTTTCTGATTGTTAACATTGTTGTATTATTGTATATCAAAGTGAAAGTGTAAATGAAAGTTTCTTTTACTGTAGCTATGTTTCCATCCACCTATTTTTATGCGCATTTTGGAATATTGCATTAAAAAAACGCTGGATGGAAACGCCAAGATGCGCATAAATTCTAAAAATGCACTTAAAAAACATATGCGCACAATTTAGTAGGATAAACTTTTTACCCGATAAGAAAAAATGCGCATAGACTATGATGGAAACACATTTACCGAATAAATTCCACCATGCGCATTGAAAAAGTCATGTGACTTTGCGCTAGCTGGACTAACCAGCGAACTGATCTCGTTCACTGCATCTATATTGTTTGTTTGTTGTTGTTTTGGTCGCTCTGAAATGCCTGAGAAAAGTCTGTCATCGAAGTATTTCTGTATAATTTTCTCTGAAAGCAATGACTGCATTTACTGGGTTACGTCTGCTCTCTCTGAGGCGCATGTAATTTATTATATAGATTTCTTAGAGATATTTAGTGGCAGTTCATCAGGAAGTGACGATTTTGTTCTCTTTGACTCGTTGGATCAAAACGGTGCTTTATTCGCAAGTTTTATGCGATATTCCAGTTTTACGCATAAGTTAAATTCGCATCTTTGGATGAAAACAGAGCTTGTGCCAACATTCGTTTGAGTTTACCAAAAATGAAGGGAGGCTGTGATTGGTTGAGGAATGTCACATGTCTCTAATCAGTTTGCTTACATGGTTTTGAATGAAACATCTCCGCCTGATGTCCTGTCTCTTTCTCTGGAGAAGCAGAGACCCGTCTCCATCGGTCACAGATGGCCAGGAGCAGCCGTCGGCTCCTAACGGCCGTGTGAACGGCATGGATTCTCCTTCAGCGTCATCCAGAGGGTCGCGACCCCAGAGACCTCCGCGACCCTCGCGACCTCCGCCGCCGACCCCACGCAGACCCACGTCCTCCCCAGGTGAGACGCATTTGGTTATAGCATGTAGCTGTTTAATGCTCTACTTTTTCATATTGAAACATGTTGGTTCAAGTCATTAAGGAAGTCAAAAAATATTATACAAAATATATATATACAAAATATTATCCAGGCTTATTTATTTTTGGCCAGCATCAGCTGATAATGAATCTTTTATGGCATATTAACAGAAGTATGTAATTTCAATTTTTTAAATAAATAATAATTGCAATAATTATTGGTAAATATGTAAAATAAATGTTCATTTAATTTTCTGATTGTTAACATTGTTGTATTATTGTAAATCATGTATACTCACTACTGTTTCTGAACGAAGTCTCACCAAGGCTGCATTTATTTGATACAAAATACAGTAAAAACAGTAAAATTGTAAAATATTTGTGCAAAAAAACAGTTTTCTATGTGAATATCTGTTAAAATGTAATTTATTCCTGTGATCAAAGCTGAATCAACATCATTACTCCAGTCTTCAGTGTCACATGATCTTCAGAAATCATTCTAATATGCTGATTTGCTGCTCAAAAACATTTTTGATTATTATCAATGTTGAAAAAAGCTGTGCTGCCTATTTTTTATTTTTTTTTGGAAACCGTGATATATTTTATTTTTCAGGATTCACAGATAAATAGAAAGTTCAAAAGAACAGCATTTATTTGAAATAGAAATTGATGTAAATAGAATAAAATATATATATTTTTTGTATTAAAGTATGCATGTATTTGTCCTGCTCTGCATTTGTATTGGTTGTTGAAAAAAAAATGAGAGGAAATGGTGGTGAATTTTCCTCCTCTTTGCAGCTTCCTCCACCGGCTCATTTCCTGATGGCAGCGATTCGTCCCGTTCAGACACTCCGGTTCGGAATCCCACTGGAGGCGGAGCCCCAGAGTCTAGTCCCGCCCCCACAGTGGAGCAGCCTGGTAGGACGTCCCTCAGCGTAGTCCCCGCCCCCAGCAGGATTCCCAGCATGGTCAACCCTTGTCCGCTGCCGTCTGGGTACGTCAGTAAACAGAAGCGCCGGTTCCTCCTTACATCACTTCTCCAATTTACAAATTGCTTGTCAACAGAAAATGCATGATTTGTTTTTGAAAATTTTCAATCATTTAAAGACACATTAGTACGATTTTCGTAATAAAATATCCAAAAACTACTTGCATATCGTGATGTATTTCATGCAGTTGTGTACTTATATTGTAGGATTTGTAAATCCATAGAAATTCCAATTTTAAATAATGGCTGTGTATTACTGTACTGTTAAACTAAATCAATTACGGCTGTCGCGAATAAAATGAAATTAAAAGTATTGACCGGAGCATTAAATTTAGAACTTCTCAATGTTGCGCCATGATTTTTTAACACGTTTTACATTGTTGCGCATTATAACCAATAACGAGTCTGTTGCGCTTATGAATGAAATGGCCAATCAGAGGCATTCAGATGAGTTTTTGTTCACTGCAATCACTCGCTGACTGAATTCAGCTCTCACGAATTCTATAATCATAAACAACAAAGTGCAGATGTACGTATGATGAAAGAGATTAATTCATAAAACCGTGTACAGACAGCATTACTGATTATAAGGGGAGATTTTTGAGAGTGCTTAAAGGGTTAGTTCACCCAAAAATGAAAAGTAGGCTGCGTTTTACTCACCCCCGAGGCATCCTAGGTGTATATGACTTTCTTCTTTCAGACGAATCCAGTCGGAGTTATATAAAAAATTGTCTTTGATCTTTCAAGCTGTTTAATGCCACTCAGCGGGTGTTGCATTGCTTTTGTCCAAAAGAAGTTAAATAAAAATCGCCCATCCATAAAAAAGGATCTCACACGGCTCCGGGGGGTGAACAAAGGCCTTCTGAATCGAGGTCAGCTTTGCGCATGCGCCGCTCAGATGTGACGCACGCGGAAACGCAGCGGAGAGATCAAAACAAAACAACGGTCAAGAATTAGAAGTACAAAACAAGGATTTGTAAAGAAGAATGTTGGAGGATTTCGATGTAAGCCAAGAGGAGACTTGTTTTCCTTTGCTAAAGTAAGGAAACTTGGCTTCTTTTGCTCCTGTTAACAAACGTTGGTTTTCACGAGACTCACGGCGCATGCGCAACGCTGAACTCATGCGTCATCAGCCCGGAGCCGCTTCTGTGTACAACTGTTGGCGCAAGCTACATTAAAGTGATTATTACGTTTTGAATATGGACATTTTTCTTACAAAAATGCATCGATTCACTACAGAAGGCCTTTGTTCACCCCCCGGAGCCGTGTGAGACACTTTTTTTTTTAATGGATGGGTGATTTTTATTTAACTTCTTTTGGACTGAAGCAATGAATCACCTGCTGAGGGGCATTAAACAGCTTGAAAGATCAAAGACAATTTTTTATATAACTCCGACTGGATTCGTCTGAAAGAAGAAAGCCATATACACCTAGGATGCCTCGGGGGTGAGTAAAACGCAGCCTAATTTTCATTTTTGGGTAAACTAACCCTTTAAACCCGCACTAGACCGAACTCAGTCAAAATGTTCTTGACAATGTAAATGCCCTTAGCTCGCTTTCTCTGTATAATTTATTCGCTTTGAATAACTGTGGAAGGTACAGGTAATAAAATTTTTTTTAATTAATTACCTTATCCATGAACATCCTCCTTCATAGCATCATCAAGCTTTGCCTTTGTTATTGTTTTGAAAATGCAGCAAAAACGTACACATTGTGACTTTAACTGAATTATATATCAGCCATATCTTGATATCAGTGCCCATATGGTTCACTCACTAACTCTAGTGTGTGTGTGTGTGTGTGTGTGTGTGTGTGTAGTTGGGAGCAGCGGGTTGATCAGAACGGCCGTGTGTATTATGTTGACCATGTGGAAAAGAGAACGGCGTGGGAGAGACCGGAGCCTCTGCCGACAGGGTAAGAAACCCTCCTCTGTCATTGAATTACTGGACACACCCTTAGAAGAATGTACTATGCATAATATATTTAAACTGTAACACAGAGTCAGTGCAGTGCAGTATGGTGGAGTTTGGATATTTCAGGTTAATAGTTCAGGATCTGGACAGTGATGAAGGTTTTATGTTTTAACACGAGATCTCATTTATTAGAGAGTTGCTATACTTTTCTGAAATATATAGTATAGAAAACAACTGCCAAATGGCCTAAGTGAATTTTACAAAACCAAGAATATGTCCAGGTCATATTTCACCACAAAGGAAGTGATATTTTGTTGAAGAACATGCAGGTTATTTGTTTTAGGACCACCTTTTCTGCACTGTGAATAGGGATGTGTACTAGTACTGAATTACTGACAAACAATTTCAAGACTGACTAGTTGGTGGGCTGCCTGAATAACATTTCTACTAATCAGCCTGTACTTAGGCTGGTTTTTCAAAGGAAGCTTATTTCTGCATTGGAATAAAAGATAAAACATGTAGTTGCAACGGTTTACCTCACAATTGTAACCTTTTATTGTTGATAAATATTGTGACTTTTTGTCTTCACAATTTGAACATTAATTCTCAGAAATGTGAGTTTAGATCTTGCAGTTCTAATTTTTCCCCCCTCACAGTTCTGATGTTTTTTCGCGCTTTTTTTGCAATTGCAATCTCACAATTTGGACTTCTCAGAAATGTGAGTTTAGATCTCACAATTCTGACTGTTTCTCGCAATTTTAACGTTTTTCTCGCAATTGCAAATTTATATTGCGCAATTCTGACTTTTTTTCTCGCAATTCTGAATTTAAATCTTGTATTTTTTATTTTATTTTATTTTTTTGCAATTGCAAGTTTCTCACAATCTCACAATTTGGACTTCTCAGAAATGTGTTTAGATCTCGCAATTCAGATTTTTTTTTCTCTAGCAATTTTGACTTTTTCCTCACAATTCTGATTTTTTTTTTCTTGCAATTGTGAGTTTGTCTCGCAATTCTGAGTTTATATCTAGCAGTTGAAAAGATTCTCGGAATTCTCAGTCAGATTCTCAGAAAAAGTTGCCATTACCTTTTTTTTTTTTTTTTTTTTTGTTTTTTTAAACGACATATTTCTTAGGAGGTGTTATAAATATTATTCAATATTGTTGGAAATGTTGATGAAAATGTAAATGCATAAATATTTTTGGCCTCAAATGGACTTCTCTCTCGTAGCTGGGAGCGGCGTGTGGACCCGATGGGCCGGGTGTATTTTGTGGACCACATTAGCAGAACCACCACGTGGCAGCGGCCCACGATGGAGACGGTGCGAAACTATGAGCAGTGGCAGCACCAGCGCAGTCAGCTGCAGGGAGCCATGCAGCAGTTCAACCAAAGATTCATCGTTGGGGTGAGGAAATTAAACGCATGCATTTATCTTCATATTTTAACATATACACACAGTTAGCCATAATGTTCTCCTGATGCTGCAGGATCAGGCTTCAGCCACCCAGAATAAGGAGTTTGACCCACTGGGACCTCTGCCACACGGATGGGGTGAGAGAGAGACAAACTTTCCTTTCATTGCATGGAAAAACGGCTGTAAAACTGTACCCTCTTCTGTAATATGCTGGACTAGCAGCTACTTTTTATTGTTCTGGTAACCTTATTATCTGCACCTGCGAAGCAGCACTAAATATAGCCGGTACATCCTTCAGTGTCCCAATTTAACAAATGAGAAGCGCTTGCACCGTGTAAACCAGCTGGTGAAAATAGCTCAAATGTTGAAAATGGCTCTGAGTTGAAGTTTGCAAAGGCTTAATCACATCTTGGCTCCATTACTTCTTACTTTCCTCCTGGTGTCTCCTCCTGTCTTGCTCTCAGAGAAGAGAACGGACAGTAATGGCAGAGTTTACTTTGTTCATCACTCGACCAGAACGACGCAGTGGGAGGATCCACGCACACAAGGGTCAGATCCTCTGTCTTTTTCCTCTAAAATGCCAATCTACAGAGAGAAACAATAAAGCACTTTTACGTTAATGGCCTTCAATGCACTCCACTTTCAGCCGTGATTAAGGAAGACCATTTTCAGAGAAGTTTTTCTTGTTGGTCTATGGACGTTGTAATTTCCATCTGCAGTGTATATATGTCCATAAAAAAATTCTGAATTAGATTTTTTTTGTTTAAAAATGTAAACATTTGTTTAAATTCAAAATCTTTTCGTTTAAATTAATTTTTTTCTTATTTAATAGTGAGGCGCAATACAGTATTGTTTTAAATAAGTAATTATTGCCCAGCTCATTGAATCATTTTTCATAAACTGATGCCTATTAAAGTGTGCTCATGGCTCTGTTTCTGTGTTGTGCAGTTTGCTGAATGAGAAACCACTGCCGGAAGGTTGGGAGATGAGGTTTACGGTCGATGGCATCCCTTACTTCGTAGATCACACCCATAGAACCACCACTTACATCGACCCACGGACTGGAAAATCCTCTCTGTAAGTGCAAACAGCCCAGCACACACTTCGAGAAGACAGTCTTTACCCTGACGTGCCTAGATAATGCAGTTCTGCCAGGTTTCCCTGTCAGGTTTTCCAGCACTGCATTATGATGTCAGGAGCAGTTCAACTGTCGCATTATGATTTTAGCAGCAGCTCATGGTCGTAATATGATGTTCGCAGCACTGTAGCATTCACAGTTGCGTTATGATGTTAGCGGCAATGCAGTGTGTTGTGGTGGTAGGAATATGATGTCAGCAGCAGTACACTGTCGGATTATAATATCAGCAGCGGTTCACTAGCACGTTACTATCTCAGCAGTAGAGTAGTGTTTATGGTTGCAATATAATGTGAGTAGCAGTTCACTGTCACATTAAGATGTCAGCAACAGTTAACTATCACATTTTGTTGTTAGCAGGAGTGCAGCTTTAAAGAGTTAGTTCACCCAAAAATTTAAATTAGGCTGCGATTTACTCACCCCCGAGGCATCGAACTATCACATTTTGTTGTTAGCAGGAGTGCAGCTTTAAAGAGTTAGTTCACCCAAAAATTAAAATTAGGCTGCGATTTACTCACCCCCGAGGCATCCTAGGTGTATATGGCTTTCTTCTTTCAGACGAATCCAGTCGGAGTTATATTAATAATGGTCTTTGATCTTTCAAGCTGTTTCATAGCACTCAGTGGGTGTTGCAGTGCTTCAGTCCAAAAGAAGTTAAATAAAAATCGCCCATCCATAAAAAAAAGTGTCTCACACAGCTCCGGGGGTGAACAAAGGCCTTCTGTAGCGAATCGATGCTTTTTTGTAAGAAAAATATCCATATTCAAAACATAATAATCACTTTAATCTAGCTTGCGCCAACAGTTGTACACAGAAGCAGCTCCGGGCGGATGACGCATGAGGTCAGCGTTGCGCATGCGCCGTGAGTCTCGTGAAAACCAACATTTGTTAACAGGAGCAAAAGAAGCACAGTTTCCTTACTTTAGCAAAGGAAAACCAGTCTCCTCTTGGCTTACATCGAAATCCTCCGACATTCTTCTTTACAAATCCTCGTTTTGTACTTCTAATTCTTGACCGTTGTTTTGTTTCGATCTCTCCGCGTGCGTCACTTCTGAGCGGCGCATGCGCAAAGCTGACCTCATACGTCATCCGCTCGGAGCTTCCGTTTACAACAGTGAGCGCAAGCTAGATTCAAGTGATTAAGTTTTGAATGTGGATATTTTTCTTACAAAAACGCATCGATTCGCTACAGGAGGCCTTTGGTCAGCAGCAGTGCAGCTTTCTTTTCTTTGTGCTCTAATGCTTTTGCACCAATCATTATGTATAAATCACATTATAAATGTCATTTATGACCTTGAGACTGGTCCGAGGAATTCCTTGTTTTGCTTAATTTGGTTTAGCTTACAGATGCACAGTGATCTCTTTCAGGCGAGACAGTGCGTGTTCATCAGTCATTACATGCATAACAGGAAAAACGGGTTTGTGTGCCTCAGGAGTGAAGCTGTATTCGATTATAATCTTCCGTGATGACTCAGCTCAGAGAATGCAAACACACCTCTCTCAGAATGTGTGTATTAATCCACATCAAGTGTTTTGAAGGCACAAAGCGATCCTCTACGTCAGAGGAATGTGAGACGTGCTGCTGATGTCAAAATATTCCCAACAAACAAACATCTGCACTCAGTGTTACCCGTCACGAGCGTCAGAGTAAATGCTCAGGGCATCTAGATAAGACTTTTATTAGGATGTTTTCACCATCAGCTGTTCTGTGTACAGTTTGAGGGCATTTAAGAAGTAACCAGTAAGGATTTGCATGCACAGCAATTTTAGTGATTTTCATATTTAACATTAAATTAAGATATTTTGCTGTGATGCTTTAGATTGAGTCCTAAACAAAATATGAAGCGGTTTTACTGTATATTGTGTTTGCATCATAAATAATTTCACTCTTTCCTTCCCTTCAGTGAGAATGGCCCTCAAATCACATACGTACGAGACTTCAAAGCCAAAGTTCAATACTTCAGATTCTGGTGTCAGGTGAGGATTTCCTTCAAAATTTCTCCATCCATAAAAACACAACTGAAGTTTTAATGAACAAATATCAGAAGTTGGTCAGAAGAATATTAAAAGAATTGTTCACCAAAAAAGAAAATGTGTTGAAAAATGTATTCACCTTCAGGCCATCCAAGATGTAGATGAGTTTGTTTCTTCATCATATGTGGAGAAATGTAGCGATCACTTGCTCACCATGATAAAAACATCACAGCTGTTTGGACTCTCATTCTGACGGCACCCATTCACTGCAGAGGATCCATTGGTGAGCAAGTGATGCAATGATACATTTCTCCAAACCTGATGAAGACCGAGACAAACTCACTCATGTATATCTTGGATGACCTTAGGGTAAAGTTTTCAAAAAGGACCCCAAATGTATATTATAACTACTTCAGTTATATTTAAAATATTTATTTTTTTAAAATTAAATTGATTGTTTGAATTTTTCATTACAGCAATTAGCAATGCCACAGCACATAAAGATCACCGTCAGCCGCAAAACGCTGTTTGAAGACTCGTTCCAGCAGGTAACGCAGTCTAACTTTACAATAACCCATGACTGCTGTAATACTGTGGTGTTTTTCTGCTAGTAGCTCCAGCATTTAAAAACCAGATCAGAGACATAGCGTGAAGCCTGTAAATGTCTTTAAACACGTCAAACATCTGCACGGTTTGGAGTCTCTGAGATGTGAAATGACGTTGTGCTGGTGTCTCCCTGCAGATCATGAGCTTCAGCTCTCAGGATCTCCGGCGCAGGCTGTGGATCATCTTCCCCGGGGAGGAGGGGCTTGACTATGGAGGCGTGGCCAGGCAAGTTTCATATTTCTCTCTTTCTGGAGAATAAAGACCAGATCAAAGCATTCTAGAGCAGGGCTGCACAATATATCAAAATATGGATTAGTACAATTGTCAAATTGTGCAGACTGCAATTTAATTAAATATATGCACTCTGAAACCATCAGCAGATACTTTAATTGCTGGCAATCTGTCAAAATAAAAGCACATTTGTTCAAAGTCCCCCCAAATTTTTTTTTAAGTATTGTAACATTAGTATTGTAATTTTACAGTTGTACTATAAGATAATGTTGCTTATTGAATACTTAATTATTACTACAGTTACAATATTACAATGTATTTCTTATTTTGCTTAATATCTTATTTAATAATAATCACAGTAAAATCACAATTATTATTGTAATCATAATTTTGTAGTCATATTATTCATAGAATTGGTCAGAAACAGTGGGAATGTGCCCCATGAAAACTCAAGTGGAGCTATATATTTTTTTAACTCTCTTCTCCAGGGTTATTATAGGTAACTAAAACAGAAACTAAAATTAAAACCATAAATACAAACTTTATCATTACTTAAAATAAATGTTAACTGAAAAAAAACTAAACATAAAATAAGAGCATATAAAATAAAGCATGAAAGTGTTTTATTTCAGCTAGTTGTTTTGTTTAACTTAAAAATAACTAAAAGTAAAATTGAATTAAAAATGAATAGAAAACTATATATGTATATGTATATATGTGTGTGTGTGTGTATATATATATATATATATAAAATGTATTTTATTTTATTTTTTTCACATTTTTATAGCGTCTCAGTGATACTAACACTGAAGTTCACGTTATGGTTACTGAAAGAGTTTTAATTTGGTTCCTATAAAGAGTAAACCCAAATGTAAATATGCAAATTAAAGAAAAAAGCTTTCCCAGATTGTTGAGGCCTCTCATGCTCTGATGCAGTGGTTTATAGTTGTTTAGGAGTGATTTAGGTTTGGTGCGTCACACTGCATTGCTTGTGTCCAGTGTGATACTGTAAAATAAAGCGTGTTGTGTGTTTTGTGCAGGGAATGGTTCTTCCTGTTATCTCACGAGGTGTTGAACCCCATGTACTGCCTGTTTGAATACGCTGGCAAAGACAACTACTGCCTCCAGATAAACCCCGCCTCCTACATCAACCCCGACCACCTCAAATACTTCCGGTTCATTGGACGCTTCATCGCCATGGTAATGCTGTCTTGCCATATTTGGTCATTGTCAGATTGTATTTTAAGTGGTGCGATATTAAACAACTGCTTCTGTTTCTTAACTGGATTTGGACATTCAGGAACATTATAATAGCAAAAATCTCCATCATGCCTGTTTAGCATTTATTCTTTGTGCTTCCTGCAGGCCTTGTTTCATGGGAAATTCATCGATACGGGCTTCTCGCTCCCGTTCTACAAGCGCATCCTGAACAAGCCCTTGGCTCTGAAAGACCTGGAGTCCATCGACCCGGAGTTTTACAACTCGCTCATCTGGATCAAGTCAGTTTACCAGCTTTACTGAATGCATGAATATTCGTTACGAATAAGTATAATGCATTAAAGTCTTACAGAAGTGTATGTGGTACCATGGTACTGTAATATATACCATAAGGTACTTTAAAGAATACCATGGTACTTTTTTGGGTACTTTTTTAAAAATGAAAAAGAAACAACAACAAAATACTTAATAATATTCATGACATAATGTAACATACATGAAACGAAACATAGACGTAATACGCCCCTCCACACACCCCAACCATTCAAATTTCTGTAGGTGGGAATTATTTGTAATGATATTCTAATGAGCCGCTTTGTGATATCATATAGCCCGGAAACCAAACGCTGTAGTCCAAACGAGCCGTTCGTTGTAGTTCTTGAAAAGGGATTTTTAAAAAACTAAATATCTCTCTTTGGAATGGACTTTGAGATTTGTAACTTTCTAGATCTTTTTTATGCCCAAACATACACACTACACACTGACTAAAATTAAAAAAGTGAAAAGGCATAATAGGACCCCTTTAAATAAAAATAACATTTGAATATATAGATTTATGTATATCATATAATAGTGTTTTTAATTTATTCTATTGGAATGAATGAATAAATATGTATGCATGTATGTATTTATCTATTTACTATATAAAATGTTTTTTCTTCCAAAAATAAACATAAATTCAAACTTATTAATACTACTACTACTACTACTACTACTAAATATTTAAATAAAGTCCACTTTATGTAACATCCACTTTAAATTTCAGAGTAAAGTTGCATTGATTACTTGAGTATTATGTGTTTAGACCTCCAAATAAAAATCTAATAAATAGCAAATTATTATTTTGTTAATTATTTATTATAGTGGTAAAAAAAGCTACATTTAATTAGTCTTTAAAAGAAAAGGTGATTTTGCCCAATTAAATTTTTTTTTATTATTATATTAAATTATTATTATATAATATTATTAATTAAAATTATTCTAACACTTAATAATGTTTCTGATATGCTTTAAATACAGGTAAACATTTGTTGTTATTCCTTTTTAAAATGTTTGCTTTCCTTATTTTGTGTACGATCACCTCAAATTATTGTATGTGGATACTTTTTGTCAGTGTTATAAGCCGAGTTCGTATTATGAATTCTTGAGTCGTTCTTGTGTGTGGTGTGATTATAAACCCTCACGTCTGAAATGCAGCTCAATGTGATTGATTTCAGTGGCGTCTGTCTCGTGGTGTCGAGGAACAGACTCAAGCCTTCTTTGAAGGATTTAATGAGGTTCTTCCGCAGCAGTACCTGCAGTATTTCGATGCCAAAGAGCTGGAGGTTAGAGACGCTGATTTAAAATCTCTTAAATCCCATGCACAGAGCTGCCTCAAAAATATATGTGCACTCGAGTCACACTTCAGCATATCAATGTCATTGCGTAACATAACAAAATGCAGTGGCATTATTATATATTTGGGATATATGTGCAAATACTTTAACAAATGCACTGTACATTCCAAAGCTTGCAGAATCAAATCAGACATCTCATTTAAATACTGTTGCATCTGTTCTGTTATTAACCGTGTGTTTGTGTGTCATAGGTGATGTTGTGTGGAATGCAAGAAATAGATCTGAATGACTGGCAGAGAAACAGCATTTACAGACATTACACCGCCACCAGTAAACAGATCCTGTGGTTCTGGCAGGTAATGACGCAAAAATCATTTAAAATGAATAATCATTCAGATTGCACCAAGACACTCTCTCTTTTCTCTGTAGTTTATTAAAGAGATGGACAATGAGAAGCGCATGAGACTGTTGCAGTTCGTCTCTGGTACCTGCCGTCTGCCTGTCGGAGGCTTTGCAGACCTGATGGGTGAGTTTTTATTTATTTTGGATTCAGATCAGTTTTATTTACATAACAAAATGAAACCGCATTCACTATGCATTTAACTTCCACAGTGTGATGTATTGTAGCATTAAGGCAAGACACAACACGCGAGTAGGGTAAAAATATTTAACTAATACACATCATCATACATTCTCCAGTTGATTAATCACAGTACTTTAGGACAGTTGCTTTGTATTACAAGTTTTATAAAATGTTTTGTTTAAATCTGTAAATAAGGCGTTATCTAATTAGACATTTCCAGAAAATGAATCTGGCCATTGGATAAAGCCAGGTTCAAAATTTTTATTTCATTTTGTTGACACATTAGACTCAAAGGTTTTTACTGAATGGATTTTGTGTATCACTTTTTGTCTCTCCACAAATCAGAAAATGCTGTCAACAGACAGAAAAAAATACATTTTCATCATGTTTTAGCAATAAAATGTTATCTAAATCAGTGTGAATGAAATATGAACAAACCCCTCAGTAAAAACCTTCAGAATATAGAGAGGAATAAAACTGCTAAGTTTGGTGTTTGTAAGTGCTGCTGAAGTGGAGAAAAAACTTTTAAAGGTATGGATTGTAATTGAAATCTACTGACGCAAACAGATAAAGTGTTACAAAATAAACACTTAAATGTGTATTTTAGATGTTTTCTATTTACTAGTCTGTAAAAAGATTCTGTTTTCACAAAATACCTATTACATTTGGCAGAAAGTATGGAAGCAACAATAAAAGATAATATAGAAAAAGTTACCATGTGTTTTTTTTTGGGGGGGGGAAATATGTTGTATAAATCAGTGTGAATGAAATATGAACAAACCCCTCAGTAAAAACCTTCAGAATATAGAGAGGAATAAAACTGCTAAGTTTAGTGTTTGTAAGTGCTGCTGAAGTGGAGAAAAAACTTTTAAAGGTATGGATTGTAATTGAAATCTACAGCTGCAAACATATAAATTGTTATAAAATAAACATGTATTTACATAGTGTATTTTAGATGTTTTCTTTCAAAGAAGAATATTATGGAAGCAAAGTTCAAAATCACAAAATTGACCAGTTGCCCTAAGTGGAATAATGACTGGGACATAATGTAGAGAGCAACCAGAATTTTATCGGATCACAGTTGTTAGGTGTTTTGATATTATTGGTTTAATATTTTTTTAGTTTGAGTCCTGGCTCATGTTGGGAGAGTGTGACGTTTGTCATGTGTTTGGTTCAGGGAGTAACGGACCGCAGAAGTTCTGCATCGAGAAGGTTGGGAAGGAGAACTGGCTTCCCCGCAGCCACACATGGTACATAATCTCACTTCATACAGACATTATTTTAATCTCAAAACTTAAGCTTAAGATGTGTAAGTACACTTGTGTCAGAGGAGGCATGTTTTAAAATATTAGTCTAATGTCTAAATAAATGTTTTAATGATTTAGCAAATAGATTAATCAAAAGGCAAAAATATTTTTTATATAGTAAGCATAAATAAAATATTCTACAGTGTATGTGGGTGTGTGTACATATATTACATGCATATGTTTATAGTATAACTATTAAATGGTATATATTAGTATACACAAGAATGTGTGTATTATATGTAACTCATTTATGTGAGCTTGATGAAATTGTTGTTATTTTTGTGGTTGTTATTATTATTGTTAAAATATATTTATATAGTATATATTAATAATGTAATAATTATACTATTTCAAACTATTGTTAAAATATTTATATAAATAATATTATTTATGATTGCATATAGCATTTTATTGTTTATTGTATATTAACTTTTTACATTTTTTTTAAAGAATTTAATAATTTTTGTCTAATGATTTGTTGTTTATTGCATCAATTGCATTATATATACGAGTAAATAATTATTAAATATTTAATTACTCGTACACAAATTTATTCATATTTTTAATTTGAATTTAATACATTGATAACTGATTCCTTCACTGTTTTTAAGTGACACTCCTAGCGCTTCATATACTGTAAATTTTTACACATTTGCACTATGTATTCAGACTTCTTACTGCATATATAATAACCATATATAATTTAGATTTTTGACAGTACTTTGTTTGTTTAAATTATTTAACTATATTTAAAAAAAGTTGATTTAATAATTAAATAATCTAAATTAATAAATAATTGTTAAATATCTAATATTTTTAATACATTTATTTAAATATTTATTTTGAAATTCATGATAATTCATTGTTTTTATGTGACACTCTTAGAGCTTCATATACTGTAATTTTTTGTATTCATTGTTGTATACTGCATATAATAATCATCTTAAAATCAATAATATTCATCTAATGCAGCAGCAGTACATATACAGTAATCATTGAGTACACAGTGTGGATATTAAACCTGTAAATTCTCTTGTTTTTCTTTGTACTCCAGTTTTAATCGTCTGGATCTGCCACCGTACCGTAGTTACGAGCAGCTGAAGGAGAAGCTGATGTTTGCTATTGAGGAGACAGAAGGTTTCGGACAGGAGTAAGATGCTCTCTCTCTCTCTCTCTCTCTCTCTCTCTCACACACACACACACACACACACACACACAAAGAGGACATCCAGATCTCATGCACACTAGTTTTCCTGAGAGGACAGACCGATGATCTGACACACAGGTGCATTATGGGAAAATTTGGGTTTTTGCGCTCACCTGTCACTTGGTATTAATTAAAAGGAGGCTTTAAAGGAGGTTTTATGCAAGCGTGTCAGAAACGTGACGCTGACGTTTCTACATGTGATCAATCCAGTGAGTGCCATTCTGAACGACTCCAGAAGAAAGAGCAGATGCTCTGAAGAGTCCCAGAACGATTGGAATGATTCACCAGAGCTCTGTGAATGTGTGTTTTTATGTTCACAAACCCTTCGACGGGTCTCCTTGTGCCTTTTTTCCTCACTGTCATCCAAACAAACTGAGTTATTGAAGTGTAGCACTCGACAGCAGCAGGATCTTCAGGCGAGAACCTGATGGCTTGTTGCACAACTGATCAAATTATTCATTCAAACTGTCAAGAAATGGCCAGTTTCATCCCAAAATCATTTAGAAATTGTATTTTGCAAAAATAAAAGGACAATTAAGGTATTTGGCATTGTGACTTTAAAACATATTCATGACAATTAAACACATTTTCACAAATTCTCATTGTTATAATGTGGAAAAAAATGTCTTTTCCACATGTTCTTGTAACTGTAAAGTGAAAAAAAGAAACGGTATATATATATATATATACTTTCAATTGTAAGTAAACATTGTGTTGTAATTTAACTTGTGCTGATCTAAACAAAAAATAATAAACATTTAACCAAACTAATACATTTAATAATGAAATAACAACCGATTTTTTTACAGAAATAAATTTTTCCACATTATGCTAATGTAAATTTAAAAAAAAAAGTAAAATGTTTAATTTTCATGAAAATACTGTTGCAGTGCAAAAATTGTGCTCAGTATATTTTGTTATATATATATATATATATATATATATGAATTTTGAGGTGAAACATGGCTTGGACATTTAAAAAATGATGCAGATGACTCTAAAAGTTTGCGTGATTTCAGGACATTCTTGCTCTTGTTCTCCGGTGTGTCTGATTTCACAATCTGATTCTCCAGCACAGATTCACATTACTAAATAATTTCTCTGAAATGAGCTGAAATTGTGTGGTTTTCAGGTGCGGCGCTGGCCTTGAATCCCTGAAGCGATAATGTGAGTTTATTTGGGCCTAAATTTGGGAGAGTGCAGTATTTATCACAGGTACCGCTCTAGTTCTATAGGGCGGCTGCTTTAAACACAGCTTTTTAAGTATACTGGAAGCTCTTGGGCTGTTCAGATCATAGTTTATTTCATGTTTCATGAATTATTTGAAGTGAATCTTGTCTAAACTACTGGAGGAGCTCAAAGCCCTGCTATAAAGCATACAGCTGTGATTCAGCGCATTGCATAATGGGTAATAATATCAAGACTCATATGGATGACTGTTTTAGGGTGTCAGGGAGGATCTTTTAGATTTTCAAAAAAAGAAATCAACATCAAATATTTATTCAAACAGCTATTTTTATCCAATTTACCCTGTCTGAATGAGAATTTAACCAGTGAAATCCTCAGGATGATGGTTTAAATGTGATATAGCTCTCATTTTTTTCCCGACTGATCCATGTAAACCAAACCACTTTGACTCTGTATATGAACTGAATCCTGTACATGGTGTGAATACTCTCCTCTGTCTTCAGATTAATCAGATGATTTTAGTATTAAAGTAGAAGCGGCCACTTTCACTGTCGTTTCAGAGTTTATTTACTAGCATTGATTTGTATGTATAGTCAAATGTGAAAAGATGTTCAGCAGTTGAATAAATAATTCTATGGGAAAATTGCGTTCGTTTATTTTTATTTTTATTGAGTCCTTCATGCTGTTTGCAATGCAAAACAATGAGCATTGGCAAACCCTTAAATGATAGAAAACATCATTTATGCTTTTAAAGACGACTATGAAAGCCGATGCGATTTGTAAACAACGTGATGCAAGTTTGGAAAATGCACAAGCAGTGTGTAGATCAGTCGCCCGTCTGGAAGCACATGGGTTCAGAGAGCAGTCTGTCGGCGCCGTCGTCTTCCTGCATGTGATCCAGTCTCGTCTCGCTCCTCTCTTCCTCTTCTCTCATCTGCTCACGTTCTTCATCCTGCTGCGTCTGGCCGTCATTATCCTCGCCCTCCTCTTCGGTTTCTCCACGTTCATCAGGCTCTGCGGCTGGAGATCCGTCCCCTGTGTCTGTGGAAATAACAAAACATGTTGTTTTGTTGAGATTGTAATGACTAGTCAGTTCTACTAGTTGGAGATAGTCCACTCAAAAAATTTAAAAACTGCTGTTAATTTATTTACCCATCCTCAAGACCATCCAAGATGTAGGTGACTTGTGTTCTTTAGCAGAACAGTAAAGATGATTGTTAGCTGAAACTGTGGTCCTTGATGATTCATAAAATGCAAATCAATGGCTACCGTTATTTTGAGAGTCAAAAAAGCATATACAGCCAACACAAAATGAACACCTGGCGATATATTGAGCAGTGTTGGGCGTAACGCATTACAAGTAACACGTTACGTAATCAGATTACTTTTTTCAAGTAACTAAAGTAACGCATTACTTTTAAATTTACAATAAAATATCGGAGTTACTTTTTCAAATAAGTGACGCCAGTAACTTTGTTTTCCCATTTATTGACTGACAGCTCTTGTGTTGCCATGTTGAGAGAAATCGTGAGTAGATGCAGAGCTACTGTAGCTCTAGACTAAATGTGAATGTGCATTTCCTCATCTCACTGCACACAAACAGATTCTGTATTCCTCAAAATGAATGAAAACAGTGCAATGCAAACCTCCAATAATTAAATGTATTAAATAACACAGCATTTAATCCCATTTTATTGACCAAAATCTTTGCTGCCGACCTTCGATGATCCAATTCAACCATATTAATAAGCAAACATGACCTAAAATAAACATGACATTTGTTTTTCTTTATTGCTGAAGAGTGTTCTATGCTTCATGCAATCCAGAATGGCTGAGGCTTAGTGCGAAAGGGACTTTACATTTGCCAAAAATAGAAATTTGTATATTAACTCTTTCTCCGCCAGCATTTTTGATAATTTTCACTAAAATTTGATGGCCTCCAGAATATTTAGCTGTATGAATAGTTGAATATGCAATACACCAAAATAAAGATCAGAGCTTCTACTTTTAAACAAAAACTGTATCAACACTTGAATATAGGTAGTTTCATAAAAATGCATAATTTTGAGCAAAAAAGGTGAGAAAATCAAATTTTTATCAAAAACTACATATGGGTAATATTCAGTACGATTATCAAAGCATAAATCCAGTAAATCGCTTCCATCAACACCACCAAAGCTTGCACAGACATATACCACTTCCTGGATCAACATTTTACTCCATAACATTATGCAGTTTTCATTTATATGCTGTCTATTGCTGATGATCGCATTATTTTTCATATGCATCTGTTTACATAAGAGATCGCTCGTTTCTCCGTCCTGTACACGTGTGCTTTTGTTTGGGAGGTTTTGTACTCGTTCAGAAGATGTGTAATAGCGCCCCAGAGTGTATAACAGTGAAAACACGAAAAGCCGTAAAAACTCGTCTTTGGCGGGGAAGCGTTTTCTTCTAAAAGACGAGATAACTCGTCAATGGCGGGGAAAGAGTTAAAAGCAAATTGGCAAGCCCAGCCCAGATGAGAAAAAGTAATGCAACTTTCCATAAAAAGTAACTAAGTAACGCAATTAGTTACTTTTTTAGGGAGTAACGCAATATTGTAATGCATTACTTTCCCCAACACTGATATTGAGTTCTTGTGAAGCGAAACGATTGGTCTGTGCAAGAAAGCCAACATTATTTACAACATTATTACCTGTAATCCAGAGCCTCAGGCAAACGGTCCGGAGTGAATCATTCTTTTGAACTGGTTCTTTTTGGTGAACTAGTTGAATCAGTTCACCACATCGGACTGAAGCATCTAAAACAGTTCACAGCTCCAGCAGCACAGATCTGCAAGTTATTCAATCTAAACTCACTTTCGGTCATTGACTCCAAATGAGCCGAAATACCAGCACATCTGATCCTATGATGAACGAACTGATTCAGTGCTCCAGTTCCTCCAACAGTCACTGAACTGAGGAAACCGTTCGACTCGAACCCAAGACTGATGAGCCACTGATATGAGCATGTGTGAACCGAACACTAAATGAACGTTTTTATGGTTTCTCATGGTTTATATAAAAAGGTGAGCTAATGAAGACTTTCTAGTTTATTCACTTTATATGCTTTAGACATGTAAAACATGCATGTTTCATATCATTATTTGACGCTTTAATAATATAATTGTGTATATTTGACATCATTGCGTGATTAAGTAAACAAACTAGTGAACTGAACCAGTTCTTTGAAACAAACTGTCTGAAAGAATCAGAGTCTGAGGCTCTGGATTACAAGTAGTAATGTTGTAAATTATGTTCAATTTTTTGAACAGACTGATCATTTTGCTTCATAAGACCTTAATGTATCGTCAGGAGCCACGGGGGTTAATTTCGTGTTGCCTGTATGTGCTTTTTTGACTCTCAAAGAGCTGGCAGCCACTGACTTGCATTTGATTCACCAAGGACCAAAATCTTCTTTATTGTTCTGCTGAAGAAAACAATGTCATCTTGGATGGCCTGAGGGTCAGTAAACTGACAGCTGATTTACATTTTTGGGCGAGCTATCCCTTGAACCTGTGTGTGTTTTCACCCTGGCCGCTGTTGTCCCGTCCCGGCGTCCCGTCTGCACCCTGCACGGCCCCCGCCAGCGGACACTTGTGATCGCTGTAGTATTTCTGGCGGGTGAAGCCCTTGTTGCAGGCGGCGCAGCGGAAGCGGTAGTTGTCGGTGTGCGAGCGCTGATGCTCCAGCATGTGAGCGCGACGACTGAACGACTTCTGACAGAACTGACACTTATACGGCTTTATACCTGCAGGAGAGACAAAGAGACTCTACTTACATTTGCTTTACACGTTATTATATAGTTCCACATTACACCACAGAAAAAAAATAACATTTCTAAGAGTATTTTGGTCTTGTTTTGTAGTAACAGTATTAAAATGTCCATAAAAACTAGATTAATTCATCTGACAAGCAAAACTATTACTAAGCTATTAAGGTTTGTTGTTTCCTGATTATAAATGTAAGTATTTTTAAAGTAAATGCTCTTATTTAGAATCTTATTTATTTATCTCTTATAAAATAATAGAATAATAATTTTGAATATACACACACACACACACACACACACATATAATATACGTATGTGTGTGTGTGTATAAATTTTATTAAAACTCGTACACAATATGCAGATATATATTTATATATATTATAGGCCGATATGCTTGTGAACTTTTCTAAATTTTACATCTTTATTTAATTAACGAAAGCTGAAATAAAACTTAATAAAATATAGAATTATAAAAAAAAAGACTAATAGAAATGTTAAAAAACACAACAAAATGACTAAAATTAAAAACAAAATGGAAAAAATAAAAACTAATTCAAAGTCTTAAAACATTAGTGTCTCAATAATTCTAAAATAACATTGACTAAAACTATTAAAAACTATTTTAGTTAATTGAAATAAAGCTGAAATAAAATATGAATATTAGTATATAAATTAGTACACTATACTACAATATACTGTTAGCTAAAGCTAAATCTATTAATGTTAAAATAAATAAAAAATAAAGT